AGAGTATATAAATTTGGCAATTAGTCTGAAACTTCATCTTAATGATCGACATTTCATTATAAACAAATATTGTATTGCGTTAGGTACAACATGAACACTTTCAGATTACTTCACAATCATATTCCTATAACCAAACATCCGTCAAAACAGTGGCCTTTGTAGCGTTAACGAGCAATTGTTGATGCCGGACCGCCTGATCGCCGGACCGAGGGGGCGATATACTATGGCGACGACTACATTTGTAAAGGCCCAATCGAGGCCACGCTTCGAACAACCAGTGTGGTGGTTGCAATTAATGCGCACATCTTGTCAAAGCTTCAAACACTATAATATCTTCGCTCGCAATTGAGCAATTTGAACGAATGTTTCAATAAATCCATTTTGCATTATCTATGTTCGAACTATTATAGCAGGAATGGCCAGTTCTTTATCTTAATCTTGCATAATGTCTCTTTAATTATACAACTTACCAGTTATCTACGTCAGTATTCAATAATATTATTTGTCGAAATTTTAAACAAATCTGTATTGGATGAACGCTCTTTACTTCTGTATTTGTAACAAGGAAAATATTATAATACACGTAGATTATGAGGGCGTTTCAAATTACACAAATACTGTTGCACACTTGACCGTAAACAAATACTGATTTAAAATATCCCCATTTGCAAGTAGGAAGTAGAGTATAATATATTTAGGTTATGTTTACATCTACACCTTCATACAACAATATGCACACTTCAGAAAACTCGAGAGTTTTTTTATTTACAATAACGTGACAATTATTGAGTTTTGTCATTCCAGTCTTCACATTAAGTATTAAGTTTTGTTGAATGTTTATTCTCAAATTAAAATGGGTGTAGTATATTATATCAAATATACGCTCGTATGAATGCTAATGAGGAAGATGTATTTAAGAATAAAGTTATTTATAAACGAGAGCTTGTAACGCCCACCAAGAGTAAAATAGTCCATGATTTAAAAAAAACAAAACAAAAATAAAAAAAAAAACATATTCATAATGAAATCGTCGTTTGGGCGTAAATCAGAAAATTTAGAAAATTAGGTAACCGCAAACGCATTTTCCTGCTTTTTCAGCCCATGATTACTCCAAAGTGGTCTAATATAGCTGAAGTTAAAGGGGCATTATGGGAGATTATATAAAGAGCTGGCAAATATCGCTATAATAGTTAAAAAAAACCTAGATAATGTTAAGGGAATTTTCTGAAAATTTCAGTCAAATTGATCCACTCTGAACGTCCACTCGAGACAAAATAGGTCATTTCGGGACTAACATATGGGTCATTTTTATTTCAATAATTTACTTATTTAGCAGTGGGAGGAAACCGGAGGACCCGGAGAAAACCCACGAGGTTTGACAGGCGCCCCTACTCCTTGTCATGTACAACCGTGGATTCGAAACTCCGCCTGTTGACTCAATCACAGACCGTATAATACAGCGCAGCGCGCACCAGCTAACTATTCGGCCATCCACCCCCCCCCCTCCTTCAGTTAGTGAAGGGAAAGTATTCTTAGTGAAGAACTAACACATGGTTCAATTTTATTTCAATAATTCGTTTGCGCGTAGGGGTCTTTAGCAGTGGGAGGAAACCGGAGGACCCGGAGAAAACCCACGAGGTTCGACAGCAGACCCTACTCCTTGCAACGTACAACCGGCGAATCGAAACAACGCCAGTTGACTCAATGGCAGACCTTATGATACAGCGCGCACGTGCTAACCATTGGGCCATAAAATTCTTATATGAAATATGGTGAATTATGAGATACATGTTTAAAATATTACATATGGAGGTACATATATGTTACATAATTGGCATTGGAAAATTAGCCTGAAAGAGGGGAATATTAGCAGGAATTGGCATAAACAGCAAACTCATCCAGATATTCACCAACTGCATCAAAACAAAATCTTAACTGCTCCTGAAATTTACAAATATAATCATTAAGCATACAAACAATTCACAACTTCGATCATGAATAGCGTAATTAGCATCCAGCGGAAATAATGCAGACTATGAATGACGTTTAATTACTCAAGTTAGAATTGCATGATTTTGTATCAAACTGTGTTTAATAACAGTATATTTTGTAGTGGAATGTCTTTAACGCTACAACTGCCCGTTATCACGTTGGGTCTTTAATAAAAAGGTATCTCATTGCAAATTCATGATTGTATACGTTAGAAGAGAAACGTCCTCGTTGTTTTGTCGAAAGAAATTGCTCGCTGTCCACAGTAACCTAATTACTAAAAATAGACTATACTTTCAATTTATGTTATTTGTCGAAGCTCAGATTAGCTATATCAATCACGTGATTTCATTGCAGAATGTTCGTCCAGCGAATTTCTTATAGCGTTGCAGCTTGATTACTGCTTATCATGTGGTGAATATCCTTAAAGTGTGTCGACTTATGGTGTGCCAGGTAGATCTCGACTGACAATATGGCGATTTGCGCGCTCGATTATGAGAAAGTTTGCAGGACATTTAATATAAGAGAAGTGACAGGCATACAAACAGATGTCCTAAAAATCTCTTTGATTGGGAAGATGTTGTTATTATGTCAGTGTTTGTGTATTTAAGGTTTTTTTTGATTGGTCGATAAAAAGAACACAAACATCAAGGGCAGATAATTTGAATACGTATTTCACCCATGGATAAACCCAGGGGTTAGTGGAGTTGAACGAAATGAGGCCACCTGGGATACCGCGGGTGAAATAAGACTTACCACCGGACAGAAGCAACATACGACTTACATGTAAAATATAAGAACAACTGATGCTTGTAGTTCACGATGATTACCGAACAGGGCCGACAAAAACATGTGGCTAATCTTAGATAAACGGCCAACTGGCCCTTCACAATATTCTCAATACTTACGAAAGGAGCCATAATCTGAGGTCTAGAAACTCTTAGTTGAACCAAAGTCTGTAAAATACTGACATCTTGTTCTATAGTTAATCTTTCTAATATAGCTGCTAGAACACAGAATACACTCGATTTCTCTACACCATTTCTGAAAATGTAATATTCAAGGAAAGCTGGATGTTACAAAAAATACAGTAAGATAAAGTAAATCCACAATGTAGGTCCATTGTTATGTATATTGCTTTAAAAAGTAAATCGAATTACTAAGAAACAATAGATTCATAAGCAACGTACACACAATGAATATGATAGTACCATCTTCATTTATATTGTTTTAATAAAGTAAACAAACTTACATAGTATGCACTATAACAGGTCCATATTATCTTCACAACGTAAAACAACTTACCGACAATGAACTATGATAGGTCCATCTTCATTTTCTTGAGACCATGTTTTTATATCTTCTAAGATTGTGAATATTGGTCCGGCTGATTTTGGTGCCCTTTTAGTTGGGTTCCAGAAATTACACTGATAAATTTTGATTCTTCGCTGTAGATTTTCCTGATGGATGGAAAAAAACCAATAAATCCTTTACAGACATTCATTTCTTCTTTATATTAATGATTTACAATTATTGATCTTTCTCAATCTACCCCAGTTTTGTAACATTATTACATTAATGATTAACAATTACTGACTCTTCCCCAATCTGTCCCAGTTTTGTAACATATTACATTAATGATTTACAATTAATGACCACTTCCTCAATCTGCCCTAGTGCTGTAAAATGACATTGTATCAATGAATTACAATTATTGACCCTTATCAATTATGTTGTAACATTATATACCTTAAAATTACTGTTGTAACATTTATATTAAAATATAATAATATCATTTTACAATTATTAATCCTTACCCAATCTGACTTAGGCTTGTAACATAATTTATCATTTAATTATCCATCAGGAATATTTTACAAATTCGCACATATATTTACGTTTATTTCCCTTTATAAGAAGACTGGACTGAGTAAAATGGCCACATACACAGAAAAGGGTGCAAATATTAAGATTTGAAAAATATTACAGCAAGTAACAATTGACTAAAATATTACACAGCAATATATAATGATGATTACAAACTTTTAAAATAAAAGGTTATACTTACATATATTTCACTGTTAATTAAACAGGTAACGACTGAATAAATATCATGTTCTGTTTCATTTTGTTTTATAATATTATATGGTCCACAGTTCAGGTCATCAGTTGCTGGTATATATTGTCCAATATCCTGTAGAGTACAAATATGGAACATAGAATTAGAAAATTATATTATATGGTCCACAGTTCAGCAGGTCATCAGTTGCTGGTATATATTGTCCAATATCCTGTAGAGTACAAATATGGAACATAGAATTAGAAAGGATAAAAACACATTGCTACCAAACTTTTGTTGCATTGAAGCTATAAAGATATCTCTACAAAGTTGCAAATATCCCACATATCAATACCGTCCCGAATTTGCAAATTTACAACTGACGATTTTCACCATTAATTTGTAATTTATAGCATGGGTTCATTGATATTAAATATCTGTATGATAAATTTACCTTTCCTGTTTCTGTAATATCCATATTAACTATTGTAGTAACGTCTTGTTCTATAACCATCGTCCAGAAATCTATCACTGTATTTGGTAAGGGTGTCTGGGTCAATATATAAGCGCGTCTCTTTTTGTAACTCTGAAAATATCAGAAAGTCATGTAGAAAAGCAACTATTCAGTTTTTGTTTAGAAACCAAACATGGATTAAAGACATGGATAAAGCGAAGCCTATCGATGAGACGTAAACACAGCAGGTAACTATGTTACAGATATGTTTGTAAATGATATGATAATGATGATAATAAGTGTTTAACAATGTATATTAATAATATACTGCATTTTAGAACATTCAAATTTAAAATGCTGATTCGTATAAAATACTGAATCTTAAACTACTAAATTGTAAAACATTCCATTGTAAAAAGCCGAATTGTAAAATTTGTTTCTACAACGTTTTTCCCTAAATAAATCCAAATACAAATCTTACACTAAGACTTGCCATTTTTATCTTACCGATAAAAACACAGCATTGATATAATCTGTTGTGTATGGTTTTGATAAACACAGTCGAACTTTATCAGCTGAAATAAAGAATATGTACAAATATCAAATTAACATATATAACTTTTACACACTCTATAAATTTATGTATCAGCCGAAATAACGACAATATACATATAATAAAGAAAATGTACATATAATAAAAAAAATACACATACAATAAAGAATATGTATATAGAATAAAAAATATGTACATATAATAAAGAATATGTATATAGAATAAAGAATATGTACATATAATAAAGAATATGTATATAGAATAAAGAATATATACATATAATAAAGAATATATATATATAATAAACAATATGTATATATAATAAAGAATATGTGCATATAATAAAGAATATATACATATAATAAAGAATATGTACATTTAATAAAGAATATATACATATAATACAGAATATGTATATAAAGAATATGTATATATAATAAAGAATTTGTACATATAATAAAGAATATGTACATATAATAAAGAATATGTACATATAATAAAGAATATGTACATATAATAAAGAATATGTACATATAATAATATAATCGAATTATATATGTGTAACACACTATCAGTTATGTAGCAAATGCCATGGAATGGGGTTTAATGTCTTGCATAAATTGGGATAACATTTGATCAAATACACTAGAAATCTCAAGAACATTAGTTTCGGATAGCTCAATAATAAATAAAATGAGAAATCCACTAACATGCTAGTATTGCCAGATCTCTGTTCTTATTTTTGTTTTCTTCTGATAAAGCTACCGAACAATCAGTTTCTACATGTGGTGGACACACATCACTTAGCATCTGAAAATGAAGATATGAATCAGAAAAATAGATTTATGCATACATTACAATAGAGTGTATACTCAAATCAAAGGTATCTGAGTATTGTTATGCACACCTACCTCAAATCGTTCTTGAAGCTGTGATTTACCAGATGAACTATTGACCTTCAGTAATATATGGTAGTCCCGTTGATAAGACGACACGGGGAACGTAATATCTCCAGCTATATACCATACAGCTAAAGCATCATGTAGAAATACATATTGTTCCTGAAATATTTACATAGAGGTGAATTCGATTTTACCTTCAAATAATAATACTATAAGATATTAAGGCATACATTAAATAAACATACCCATGCCTGGACCATGTTAACTCGTTCATATCTCATCTGTTTAACACATTCATAGATATCTACTGAACACTCTGTTCTAGCTTCTTCTATCAAGTAATCTAAAGCTATAAAAGTTCCTGTTCGTCCAATACCAGCACTGAAAGACATAAAAGGTCTTTGAGAGCTACGTTCAAATTAGACATTTGTGTCCTTTGTGCTCCCATCTGTCCTAGTTTCATACATTAAGCATGTATCATCAGCCATCAGGGAAATTTTGACAAGACAGCAGCGCTACGACATCCTCTTAAATCGAATTCCAACTGTCAAGGGATCTTTTATATTTATGTGCACTCCAGTGTGTACACAGAAAACTGTTTTTTTCGTCACATAAGAACAACTAGACAGCTGTCCATTTCAGAACCGCATTCCTTCACCGCTGACAAGGGGAAACCACACGCAAAGTACCGATGAACTTTATCGTCCAACACAGTGAGCGAAACCTGCGATCTCCAGGCTAACGAGTCAGCGTGGCTCCTTAATGTGAAAGAAGATAACATTCCTAAAAGGGATGTGCATGTAAGAATAAAATAGGTTAAAATAATGAGCAGGATAACTTGCCTCACTTCCATCATTATCACAGGAATACAATGAGCTATACTTTTAATCATCCAAAGCGCCACATATGACACATGCACCACTGTTTAGCCGTCCCTGAGCTCCGATATTAACTGTATTCTAACTATATCACAAAATTTCAGAATGGCTGTAAAATACGTAAATTACATACGACATGTACATGGTCAATGGGTTTACCAACCTGCAATGTACCACCATTGGTCCAGGATGTGGTGATACGGTTTTAATCACTTTACGTCTGAATTCAAGCAATGACGCAATATCAGTAGGAACACCTTTATCAGGCCATGATGTGTAATGGTATTGTTTAATGGTTCTAGATCCACATTCATCCTAGAAATTAATATACACTATTATTATATTATTATATATTCATAATATTAACTGCTAGGAATTGAAATAATATATTCCCATCAACATTTGATTTTCTAAAAGAAATTTGATTTATCAATTTTGCCCGTAGATGTTGGAAAATCTACAAACCCAAGCAGTGTCCATCATAGTTTGCATTTTAGAGACTACTAAAATATCATCCTCAGCACCCAACCCCCCACCCCCCTTCCACCGTCCAACACAAACACAAATACACATTATATGTGTGAAATGTCAATATCTCCGACAATAAAAACAAAATCACTAAAAGTTTAGGACAGATATATTTTTTATTAAATAGAAAACTTACTTTTGTGAGTTTAAGAGTTCTTATTGCGAAGTGAGAATAGTTATCCTCGTTGACCAATGTCACAGAAATGTTACCAAATTTCATTTGCTCGCCATTCTCTGGCCAATACTGTAGACATTTCTCCTGTATTATTATATTATTATTACATTGTATTAGCCGAATATTTTTATATAGTACATTGTAAAAACCAAATAACCGGTTGGTTGAGTGAATTCGTCTTAGCGTAGATGTTGTGACCGAAACTAACACCCGCGACGAACTAGTAAACCAACGATTGCAGTAAAAATTGCTAACTATATACCAGCTTGTATTTTTAAAATAGAAAACTCTGTATATGTGGTACAACCCTATATTTCAGGTTTTTTTTTTATATTATCACACTTTTCACTTAATATTATGGCTGATGTCGAGATGCGGGGTGTCGCTATACTTTCATGAACACACGTTGCCTCTTTCCATTATGTGATTGCTATTCGATTTTATCCAATCTGTACTCTGGAATTTAATATTTAGACCGCATATTCGAGTCACGTTGGCTAAGTGCACGCCGGTGCACTAGCCTGGAGGTCGCGTGATCGATACCTGCATTGGTCGAGTAAGTTCATCGGAAATTTCTGACGTGGTTTTCACTTGTCAGTGGTACAGGACACTGACAAGGGGAACTGTCTAGTCTTTCGGATGGCACGAAAAACCGAGGTCCCGTGTATACATAAGAGATCCCTTGGTAGTTGGAAGTCGATTTTAGAGTAGGCCATAGTGCCGCTTCCCGGGCAAAATTTCCCTCATAGAACATTGTAATGTGTATGCCCGGTTTTTTTTTAGCCCAGTCTGGGAAGAAGAGAAGTATGTTAAATTTAATTTCATTTCAGACGACATATTAGTATTAATATATCAAGTCAGGTTACGTCTAATGATAAAGCCCTATACAGCACCATAACATGAAGCAAAAAGAGTAGTCTAAACAGTGAATAGTTTTACAGTTAACTACGTGAGCTTGTCATCGGACAAACCAGATGATATCAGCAACAAGTGATATCCGATGTTTCTGAAATAATAACCATATTCTTCCCCCTGAACGACAATCGACATATCACGTAGCTATGCAGTAAGAATTGGTCAGATTATGGAGGCAATAATTTCGAACCAAATCTATAAAAAGATATCAAAACCGACAGGTCTTAAAATTCTTTAAAACTATATCATGGATGCTTGAAACTGATTTATAAATCGTTAAAACAATATATTACAATATCTTGAGGTTTGATATAATTTAAATGAAAACACATACTTTTCCCATTTCAACAAGATTGGTCAATATAACAATCTTTCCTGTCTGTGAAACCCACAATAATCGCAAAAACTCTTTAATAATAACATCAACTGGACCTGATAAACATAAATAATGTATATTAATATAGGATAAAAATGATTTAAATGTAAGATACCAAATATTACGTGAGAAACCCGTCCAGTTTATCCGGGGGTTTGGATGATGGCGGGGGGGTGGGGGTGGATGGCTGCGGGGTTGGATTTCTGAATGGTTAGCACGTGCGCGCTGTATCATAAAGTCTGTTATTGAGTCAACTGGCGTGGTTTCGATTCCCCGGTTGTACGTGGCAAGGAGTAGGGTCGCCTGTCCAACCTCGTGGGTTTTCTCCAGGTCCTCCGGTTTCCTCCGACTCCTACGCGCCTGCGGATTATCGAAATAAAATTGAACCATATGTTTGTCCCGAAATGACCTAATTTGTGTCGAGTGGATGTTAAACTCCATTTCTCTCTCTCGCTCTCCAGTTGATCAGGATTGCCTATTCTTCACCCAAGTATGATATATAAGATCTCTATAGCCTATGACCATATTTAGTAGGAATTGTCAATTTCTGTGTGTGTCTTTGTGATTCAACATTCTACGTTAATGACAATATGTACTATAATTTCTCACCTTGTGAAGCGATATATTTCTTTTCAACATCGGAATATCCCTATGTAAAACAGGTATTAATATAAATTATATATACAATATTTAAATATAAATTATATATACAATATTTAAATATAAATTATATATACAATATTTAAATATAAATTATATATACAATATTTGAATTATGATTAAATCTTTTAGTTTTAGTTAATTTGTCGTTTAAAAAGAAACTTAAAAGATGTAATATTTTTATTGTTAAACAATTTGACCGCAATTAAAATAAATAAAGTAATGAAATGTGGCATAGCGATGAACACGGAAATATTGGTATCTTGGGAACGAGTTAGTTCGAATTTATTCTTTAAGACTGAAATGCAAAAATAGGACGATTGTCCAGAACGCGGGGATATGGTGCGGAGGGGTGGGGTTAACACATGATACGGTTCAGGGGGGCGAAAGTCGCGCTTCAATTGATAACTCACATAAAGAAATGTGAGAAATCAGGCCCAATTATCGTTCCTATTGCGAATACCTCTGCCCAGCTGGTAAATAATTCATAACTTACAGTTATATAGCAAGCATTGATGTAATCAGAATTAGGGTCATCGTTTTCTATGTCTAGTTTAACTCGTGAATGATCAACTGTAATAAGTAATA